TGGGGAATTCTGGGAGTTGAAGTCCACCTGTCTTAAAGTTGCCAAGGTTGAGGAGCCCTGCATCAGAGCATCTCTGACAGATAACTACCAGCCTCTGCTTGAAGACTCCATGGAAGGAGAATACACCACGTCATATGGCAGCCTGTTCCACGACAATGCTTGAATAGCCAGGAAGTTCTTCCTGATATCTAACCTGGAACCGCGTTGTAATTTTCACCCACTGGGTTCCACCTGGCTTCCCATTACTCACTCTCTAACTCAGCCTCCCACAACTGGTCAAATAATCCTGTTGTGTGAATATTCACCTCTTGCCCGGTGTCCTGTGCATAAGCTAACATCACCAGAAGGCTGTGCTGCACCCCATCCTGGGTTCGTAGCTGCTTCAGCGCTTTTCTAGGTGTGTTTTGGTATCTTGGCCTGGGTGCTACGTGACTTGACCAAGCTGATCTCAGAGGCTGTGGGAGTCCTGAGCGGGCTTCTTCTTTGCTCCCCTTCGTTGCTTATGTGCTTTGTGAACCAGGAGACTCCGTTTCACCGGGATTGCCTGTCAGTTGCTGCTTCTTTCAGCGCTTCTATGCACCCCCCTTGTGTGATCAATGACAGCGTCTAGCCCCCTCCTCTTCCATCTGCCTCTTTCTCGACTGCTTTTGACTTTTCCAAGTGTCAAGGTCTGACTTTTGTCTCTGCGTTGTGTCTCCAAAGCTGTGGTTTCATTCATGGTGCTTCCTGTGGGCAGCCTGGCTGTAGGGAGATGGGCGGTGAGAAATTTGAAATATAAATAAAAAGAAATAAAAACTTCATCTGCTCTGGAATTATTTCTCCTTCTTGGGCTCTAAGGTCTTCTCAAAAGTGTTCTCCAGCACCACAATTCAGAAGCGTCGAGTTTACTTCATTCAGCCTTCTCGGTGGGCCGACTTTCACAGCCATGTTAAGCTGGAGAACCATGGCTTGGCAACACGGATCTCAGTGGTCCAATGTGATGTCTCTGCACTGTAACAGATCTGTCAGTCTTTCTCCCAAGTGGCAGACATCCTTTTATTTCATGACTTCATTACCCCCGTGAATTCATTTCATTACCCCTGTAAATGTTGGAGCTTAATTTTTTTGACGCTGAGTAGCAGACGGGCTTTTGGCTTCTCTTGCACCTTCAGGTCTTTCTTCCTCATTCCCCACTATCCTCAGTATATCTGAGTGTGTGGGTGCTTCTTCAAGCTATTTTAATTCCAGTTTTTATTTCTTCGAGTTCAATGTTTCTCATTCTGTATGTAAGTTAAATAAATAAGGGGACACGATACAATCTTGGCACGCTCTTTCCCATCCTAACCGCTTAGTTGCTCCATATTCTGTTCTAACTATTGCTTGTTGTCATCACACAAATTCTTCAGTAGGCAGGGGACAGACTCAGGTTGTTTAAACAGCTACCCAGAGTTTCTGTTCTGCACAGGGAAAGGCTTTGTATAATCAATAAAGCAAAGACATTCTGGAGGAATTCATCGGGGGTTAGCAGTGTGATCTTAGGGACTTCTGCCTCTCCTGAACCCAGCTTACCCACCTGGGCCTGGTCATTCTGTGTGTCCTTGAAGTCTGAATCGGACAACCTCACTAGCATGTTAGGTGAGTGAAACTGATACTTTCAGCATCTTTGCGCCCTGCCCTTTTGGGTCTTGTTGCCAGCTAGAGCAAGCCCAGGATGCTTAATTTAAAAAAGGTTTATTAAAATGGTCCCTACACTCACAGCATCGGAGATTCACCCCCTTGATACACCGGAGTGAGTCTGGGTTGTGGGGAGGGCGCCTTTTATAGCCCTTCAGCCTCTCTCTCTCCTCCAGCCCTCATCCCTGGAGTTGCTTAGTTTAGGCATCAGCAAAGGAGGGTTACGTATTAATGAGGATTAAGTGTCTAACAGTATTAGCTGCCTACTAAGGCAAAAGAGGGAAATAATTATCTGATTGGGGTTAGAGCTCAGAGTTTGTTATCTTGCAGCTCGCAAGAGTAAACAGGAGGAGCCAGCTTGTCTAGGCAGCCTCTCTTCTGGGTGTTAATTAAGAAATGTGGGTCAATCACAGGACAGATATTGAAATATAAATCCCTGGGCCGCTGCCGTGTTGTCCGTATCTGCTTAGAAATAGCCTTTAGCTGCATTGTCTTGTATGATTTTAAACAGGCCTTCAACTCTTGCAGTTCGGTTGTGAGCAATATTTTCTAGGGCCCATTTTACTTCTTTATTTCTAGAATGTCTGGCTCTAGGGATAAAATCTTCATACTGATCAGAGATTTGGGGCTCTTTTTTACAGTTCACCTGTATGGTCCCCCATCTGTTCTTCATGCCTTTCCAGTATATCTTTGCCTTACTTTTTATTCTGTTCTTCTTTGCATAAAAGTTTCCCTTATACTTTTCTTAAATGAAATTCCTGCTCTTCCCCTTTGACTGCCACCCTCCATTTCTCCGCATTGCTTATGTAGATGTAACTCCTTTTCTCCTCTTGTTTTTCTCTGTGTTCAGCTGGGCACCTTTTCCTCTGCCTCTGTTATTTTTGCTTTCCGCTTTTCTTCTGCTGTTTTCAAGGTATCAGACGCTTTGCCTTCTTCTGCTTTTGCGCACGGGATTTGCTTCATCTTTAAGGATGTCACGTAAATCTTCTTGTTAGCAGAAAAATGGACCTCTAAGGCTTAATCACCCAATGATGTATGGGAGATGTCAGATCAGTTTAGTCACAGCACGTGAATATTAGCAGATTCAGCCTCTGCAGTGAGAGCTTCTTCGTACAAATGTGGAGCTCCCAAGAGGAGGAGCAGGGCTGGGTTACCCTTTCCACTCTCCGTGTTTGCAGGAGGACAAGGAAGTTTTGCTCTCTTTCTTCAGAACCATTCCATTTACTTAGTCGTTTGTTTTACTTATACGGCTGCAAAACCAGAAGGCGTCAAGGGGGCATCTGTTAAAAACTCAAGCAAAACAGTCAGAAAACAACAGGTATAAAAATTAAATGACGCTGGTGGGGGAGAGGCACCTAAAAGAACTTCCAGCTATTCCTCATCATCACTGTTTCTAGTCATCACTTGACTATTACTGCATTTTTTTAGAAGTTGGACAAATGGTCAGATTTATCTAAACTGCTGAAAAAGTTAAGAGAATTACTCTGTCTGGTTGCTTTGCCTGTCTTTGGCAACAATCTATTGATAGCCCATCTTCCTTCCTTCCTTCCTTCCTTCCTTCCTTCCTTCCTTCCTTCCTTCCTTCCTTCCTTCCTTCCTTCCTTCCTTCCTTCCTTCCTTCCTCCTCCCTCCCTCCCTTTTCATTTCCTTCCTTCCT